GGCTCGAACCCGCTCAGCCACCCGAAGGGAATGCGTTAGCATCGGCCTCACGTGGCCCTGCTTCCTTCGCTTGTGACGGCGGAGTTATTAGTGGGACAAGGCGAGCGCTCCACGCCAGCCTGCCAGCTCCCCGGGCGCTGGGCAGAGATCTGAGAGAGAAAAGGAACTTTTGTGGGAGCCAACAACGGGCCCAGACATTGGCCGTCAATACGCTTTCGTAGAGGCGTAACTCAAAATGGGCTTAAAACCTGCCGGAAGGGGCACGGCGGGGTAACGTCAGGCCTCACGGCACCTCGACCAGCGCCGGGAGAGAAATATTACGCTGAGGAAGGCGGAGGGCTTTAGCTCTCTGCAAAACCCAATTTACATCGGCCCACGTTGTGCCACCGTTTCCAGGCGCGCCCGGCCGGTCCCTCCCTCAATAACGGGCGGGCGATAGGTCTCAGGCTATGAAATCCAAAGCGAAATCCACCCAGGCACGTCCCAGAGACGGGGTCAGAGAGCAGGAGGAAGCATCGTGGCTTGGCTGTAACGCCTGGGGCGTTTGCGGCGACGGCAGTTCTTTCCAGCGCTGCCCTCGGGGCTAACCCAGGCACCACGGGTTGAGGCAGGAGAGTACAGGAGGAGATTATTATTTTATTTTTTTTTCAGTGCTCATCCTGTTTTTACTCCTCCCAAGGCACATGTTTTGGAGACAGACCCTCCGGCTGAGCCGGTACAGCCGCTTCGCTGCCGTGTCGTTAAGAGAGGCTGCCTGAGGTCAGGCCGTGGCCCTGAGCTCAAGGAAAAGTGGGAATTGCTGCCTAGACAAAGCACTCGGGGGAGCAACGTGCCCAGACCGGGCTTTTGGCTCCTCAGGAGTTGCTGCAAGATTAAAAAAAAACCCCCAAGGCTCCCGCTCACAGCTCAAGAGTGTGTAAAGCATGGAAAGGTCCTCACGTGCTTCTGTTAAGCCCCACCGGGTACCGAGCTGCACCTCCAGACACCCAAAGCTGCGCAGGAGCTGCCAGAGCTGCTCGGGAGACAAGGCTGGGGACCCCGGGGCAGTACCTGACAGGTCTCCGGTGACAGAAGAGGTCCCAAAGTAGTACCCGCGGGGCAAGCGCACGCCCGGCACGTCGATGCAGTCTCGCCACTCGTGCTTACCGTCGATATCAATCAACACCTGGGAAAAGAAGGAGGTTCCTTAGCCCCGCCGTGGCCCCGCTGCCCGCCCTGCCCTGGCAGGCAGCACTCACCGTCAGTCTCCTCTTCACGTAGCGGATCACCAGGAAGGTGTCGTGGTTGAGGTTGCGCACCATGGCCGTGCAGCCCCCCAGTTCCGTCGGTCTCCCGTCCCGGTCGTGGTCATAGGTGAGGGAGCCGTTGTTTACCATGGCCGAGATGTAGGGGAAGACACGCTGCGAGGGGAGCAAGGCTGGGGGTGAGTTTCTGTTCTTGCCCCGCCGGCCACGGCTCAGCTCTGCCGGCCGCCCCTGCATCCCGGCACGCCTCCGGGGTCAAGAGCCACGACGGCCCTACGGACCCCAAACTCCTTCACCACCACCACCCCCCCCCAAGAATCCGTCTCAACAAGACAACGGCACGATCCCGCTTCATCCCCCAGCCTTCCTCGGGCTCAACCTCAGCTCCCAGATGTCCGGGATAGAGGACAGCCGGTTTTCCATGCAGTCTCCCGGCTCACACAGGGATTATCTGGAGCTTGGAGGAGGGAATTCCTCGACCGTGAGCCACGGTGAAACCCAACAGCTTGGGAACAGGTAGGTCAGCAAGAGCAAGTACCTGATTTCCCGGGCTGTACCTCCTCTTCTGAGCCTGCCAGTCCAGGGTTATCGCAAAGCAAGAAAGAGCACAGAAGCAAGACGGTCACAGACCAGAGTTTAGTATTAACCTGCAACCTGGAAACTTCCTCCCTGGAGAGCTCAGCGCGTTATCGGCTTAGCGGAGACTAAAGCAGAGAGGGGTTTAGGTGTTAGGTGCCGAATCCCAGGACGCACGGCTAGGAAACGGCGCCGGCGGGCAAAAGCCACGTCAAGCGTCGCCACGTACGGCGTTTCCCCTCCTCGTCGCGCGGCGGCTCGCTCACACAATAAGCCAGAGCCCAACGGGGGACGCATGGGCCACGACCGCTCCCCAGGGACCCACAACTAACCTGTCCCTCTTCCCTCGAGAATAAGACGCTTCTTTTTGCTCTTTTAAAGGCGAGGGAAAGCAGCCGTGAACCCCCACGCCATTACAGCAACCGGCCGATCAGCATTTCTCCATCTCTTCCCTTCCTCGGTGCTTGACCGGAGGAGGGCAGCCCCCTCCGGCTGCAGACCGCGCTGGGAAGCCGGACACCCGCGTTCCACCGATTCTTTCTTTTAAATAAGACCCGCTGCGCATCCCTTCACCCCACAAAAGCGGAGCTGCCGCCACCCTGCCAATCGACAGGATCCATCCAACACCGCGTTAATCCCCGAGCGCTGCCGGTGACGCGGCGCCAGGCGGCTCGGAAAGGCTTTTAGGAGCACAAAGTCCACCCCTGCGCCAGAGCCGGCTGCTTCGGGCGTTTGAACAAAAGCCGGTAGTTACTCAACATTTGCTTGGCAGCCCCGAGGTCAGGGCACGTCCCAACTTTTGTCTCTCTCTCTCCCCGGGATGAAGGGGTTCCTGCGGGGCGGTGGGCTTAGCGCCGAGGCCTTGGGGTAAAACAGCGCCTATTTTTTAGGGGAAGCTAGAATTAAGAAAGGGTCCAGCTTCGGATTTGGAGTGATGAAACCGATTCCAGCATCAGGGTGGGAAGGGCTTGGTTTTAACTGCCTCCGCGCTCCCTTCTCCGCGGGAACGGATGCCAATAAACCCCAACCAACCAACAGACGCATCAGGAACGCAAAGGTCTTTAGGCGGGCACCTTTCAAAGAGGCAGAGCGCAGTCACGCTGCATCCCTGAGAGCAGGGGAAGCCTCCTGCCGACTAGCTGCCGTGAAACTGCCCCGTGGTGCAGGCAGGCCTGGGCTGGCAGCTCCGGTACCGCTCTACTCAAGGTCTACAAAGACCACGCTCTTGGTACAGCTTCACCTCAAGCGCTGCTTGCTGGCAGCCTCCAGAAAGCACAGGAGCTCGCAACGCAGAGGTGGTGTCGTCAGCTGGTTTTCTCCCGCCCTGAAAGCTTTTTCTCCGGGTAAAGCTGACCACAAAACTACCCTGCAGCTTTTCACGTCCCTGAAGAGTTATTGCCTCGCTAGGAAGAAAAACCAGCTACGCAGAGCATGGCGGGGAAAGGCAGTGGAGAGGAAGCAGAGCAATAATCTGCTCTCTGATTTAAGAGCTCAAAAAAAAAAAAGA